TGGAACTGCCTAAATATATATAACTATATAAATAAACTGCCTAACTATATGTCAAAATTGGAATTTCAAATTTAAATTTTGGTTTTAAGAAAAAATAAATGCGTAATGTTTTTACCTTTATACAATTATTTTACATGTTGGTTCATGTAATGTATGCAGTTTTGTATCTTTGCTTTTTAAACGCCTGTTATAAAAAATTTAACAAATTGATCACTTATCTAATGACTTAAAAATCACTTTAAAAATTTTAATCAAGATTTCTATTTATTATGCTTTGTTCAACAAAAATAAAAATTTAGTATTTTTTTTTTTTCTATTTAAGGTCCTTTTTTCTTCGTTATCAATCTTGTGACCAAGATACAAAAGAAAGCAGTGGGGATGAATCTTCTACATCTTCTAGTTCTTCTCTTTCTCCTGTCAATATAAAAACCTCCCCAAAGTTTCCGCAAGTTAATTTATCTATAAACAATCCTGTTATTAAATCTCCAGTTGCAACTGAATTGGCACCTTCTTCTTTTTCTAAGGTGAACATCTCGAAGCCTGCTGTTCAAGGTTTAGTATTATTTAATTAATAACACTGTTTATTTATTGTTTTTATTATTAAATAATATTTATGTTATTTAAGTTGATAACTGTAAGTTATGGACAAAGTTCAAAATTAACTTGTATCTAGATTTAATTAAATCAAAACAGGTGTTAAAACAATGATATTTCCTTAGCTATTTGGTTAATGGTTCAAATAAAATTCTTTTCATTTAAATGTCTGTTTTGTCTCTCTGAGTTTTAATAATTTGCGACCTTGGAATGAAGTGAAATTCATCATCTGTTTTACTTTATGCTGTTTGTCAAACATGTTCTTTAGCTTAGTAATGTTCTTTTCGTTTGTTTTTCGATCACTTTTCTTTTTTACAAATAATTTGGTCTCAAATTATTTGAAAAGAGTTGGAGAACATTATACATGGTTGATCTCTCACTAATAAAAATATTTACCGTTAAATTTATGTGGTTTTGAAGGAACATTTTCCAATTTTTTACAAAATTGGAAAATGTTATTTCAAAAATCTCTTGCTTATTTGTTTGTAGTGGTAAATTAAAAAACGATTATAAATTTTTATTTGAAAATATAATATTTTTCATACTTTTAATGAACTTTAAAGTTTATAAAATTTTAAATAAATAGCGAGCAATATCCTTCAAAGAACTTCGTCTAAAGTTTTATAGATGATATGATTTTAAATGTTTCAAACTTAAGATATTTGTGCTTTAGCTTACAATCAACTTCGTGCACAAGCAACAAATATATCTCAACAATCTATTATGAATCCAGTTATAAATCCAGTTTCCTCGCAAATTTTGCCTCAAGTCCCCTCGCACCAACAAATCCCATTACACCAACCGATTCCAATGCATCAGCAAGGTACATTTTATTCAACTAAGTCTGTAATTTTTTTTTAAACAATTATTTTTTTTTGAATTTCTCACTTGTAGGATTAGGCATGTCTGTCGAACAGCAGCAAATGTTATTTATGCAAGTTCAACGACAACAGCAGCAAATTCAGCAACTTGAAGAAAAAATTGCTCAACTTCAAAATGGTAAAGATGATGTTGTTTTTGTCTCACCACCGGAGAGCTCTTTAAAATTGCGTCATTCGGAGATATATGTAAGGTAGAGCAATTAATATTAAAATTATTTAATTTTTCTTAATTATAAATTAGCTGTAATATTTAATTAGTTGTAAAATTTAGTGAATTGTAATATAAAATATTTAATTAATTTAATATTGAAACAGTATGTCTTGTTTTAAATTACTTAAGATACATTGAAGGGCTTCGTGATAATAGAAACCAACTTAGTAACTGGAGTGAACTTGCTAATGAAAACCATCCTCTACCTTCTGCTCAATTACCCACACACTGGTTTACTAGTAGTTGTGAAAATATCCACCAGGCTTTATGGCAACTTCGTGATAGAATGTTAAGAGATGCAGCTGCATTGTCCAAAATTATTTAAAATAGACCTTAATTATTTATTAGTTATATAATTAATTTTATATAGTTATATATAATATATTATATTTATATGTTATATATAATTTATTATATACTATATAATATTATTAATTATTATATAAATATAAATTATGTATAATAAAATGGTATTTATTTTACGAAAGACAAAAAAGTAATTTGCTTTTATGCTTTTTTAATTCAATTTTAAATTCGTTTCTCGTCGCTTGACCCGTAAAAAAAAGATTTCATTACAACCTCAGTTCGGCTTGAGCACTGCTTCAGTTTATCCCTGGTATGCTGATTCGGGTCAAATTAACCGTACAATCCTTATTAATGCATTTTGTATAAATGTTATTGTTAAAGGCAATTCAGACTTACCATAATTGTAAGAATTTCAACATTGTTGCAAGTTACTTGCTAGAATATAAAATTTTTTCATATATACAAGCCTAGTCCAGTTAATTTACAAAAAAGCTTTAACATTATGGGCTTTAAAGTTTGTGGGAGTTTTTTTTTTTTTTAATATTTTAGTTTACATTTGTTGGTTCGTTTTTACAATATAATGAGAGTAAATAAAAAATTAATACAAATTATAAAGTAAGCAAATACTACTAACATTTGAAAAACTAGGTATCTGAAAGAAGATCAGTAAGATCTTATCGTCAAAACTTTATACTAGTGTAAACAAAATGTTATATTATAAAGTAACTATAAGTACAACAAAATAAAAATAAAATATACATACATATATCACTTTGTAGTATATATAATAAAGTTTAATAAATATTATTGTCAAATTTTGAGCTTAACTTTAAGTTTAAAATGAGGTGACAGGTGACAATTGTATTTTTGTTGAATAACGGAATAAAATCTTTTACAAAATATAATCTCTTAATCCAATTAAAGACTTAAAGGTATGGTGTTCCTATTCCTGTACAGATGCATAAGTGTTATTGTTCAGGGTTTATCTTTTTCCGGATATTTCTGGAATTTTAGATATTTTTCTCAATTTTTTGTTTTTTTGAATGTCCAAAACATTTTGCATACATACAAGTTTGGGTTTATACTTTTGTAATATATCTGCTTTTTTTAAAACCAAAATATAGTTTCCTCAGAGAAAACTTTAAACTAATAACAAACAAAAGAAACCAAAATATAAAATTCATGTTGTCACAGTCTAAACGACAAAAATTCTGGCTATAATATTTTTTTTTCGCAAGATATTGATCATCTCGCAGCATCAATAGTTTTCTTCGGCAAGTAGTTCCAGTGCTTGATTTTACGGTTGTTCAAAAACTTGTGCCTTTGTTCACAATTCTGTACAAGCTGATATTTTATTGCGTTTCAAAACCACGAGTACCACCAGTAGGTTCATTGGTTGCAAAGGAAAAAAGTGACTTTTTTTTTTTTATGTTTATTTTAGGTGCCCTAAGAAGTCCTTACGGCCTTTATCACAGAGCACCGCGGAAGAGCATTTAATAGGAAGTTCACGCCTCCTTCCCAACCGATATCGCAAAACTTTCCCAGAGGTGGGATTTATAGGTGATGCTAATGTATGATAACAACTACACTTACCTTTTTAAACTAATGTATTATATTACTTTTGTCCGACATGTATGTTCTTACATTTTTTATACTAAATTTCACCAACCTGATTCTCACCCATTTGACAGCTTAATATCAGCTTTTTAAGAATCAAAATCAGATGGAGAGCTGGTTCTCCCAATGATTTTGCAATTATAATATTATATTTTTATATTGTCTGTCAACTTATCAGGTACGATATGCAATATGAAAAACAAAAAGCAGGGGCCTATGGATTAACCTTTGTGATCTATTTTAACATGCTTAGTTTCATATATAATTAAAATTACCAACTACTAGTTTGAGTTGTTTCCAGTTTATATCAGCTAAGAGATAAAAATTTAGAATCACACCACTGGTCTTTGTTATATATATATATATATATATATATATATATATATATATATATATATATATATATATATAATATATATATATATATATATATATATATATATATATATATATATATATATATATATATATATATATATATATGTATATATATATATATATATATGAATATATATATATATATATATATATATATATATATTGTATTTACTATATATTACAATATTATATATATATATATATATATATATATATATATATATATATATATATATATATATATATATATATATATATATATATATATATATATATATGTATATATATATATGAATATATATATATATATATATATATATATATATATATATAATATATATATATATATATATATATATATATATATATATATATATATGTATATATATATATGAATATATATATATATATATATATATATATATTGTATTTACTATATATTACAATATTATATATATATATATATATATATATATATATATATATATATATATATATATATATATATATATACATGTATATATATATATGAATAATATATATATATATATATATATATATATATATATATATATATATATATTGTATTTACTATATATTACAATATTATATATATATATATATATATATATATATATATATATATATATATATATATATATATATATATATATATATATATATATATATATATATATATGTATATATATATATGAATATATCTATATATATATATATATATATATATATATATATATATATATATATATATATATATATATATACATATACATATATATATATATATATATATATATATATATATATATATATATATATATATATATATATATATATATATATATATATATATGTATATATATATATATATATATATATATATATTGTATTTACTATATATTACAATATTACACTTATTAAAAATTCTTTTTTATAAACGCATTTTAAACGTTTTTAAGAACGTTTTAAACACAATACAATATGAATAATTTGGAAATTGAAGAAAAGGAAAATTTGAAACGGAATTAAAAAAAAAAAAACTCTGTTTCCAGGTGGTTTACTTTATGAATATATAGTATAAAATTAATTGATAACAACTAAATTGCAGCTTTATTCTAAATTTAGACATGAATTCTAAAAACGTGTCTATCAATTATTTATTCTTATTATTAAAGAGTTGTTTAAAAAGTAAATCACGTAAATAATGTTATAAAAAATAAATTCCAGCTGTTCTCAGTTTTTAATAAAAGTTTTGAAAACAAAAACAAACTTGGACAAAAAATAATGATAATTGAGTATTGTAACCCCCTGTTTTACTTAAGATAAAGAATATGATATATAAAAAGATATATATATATATATATAAGAATGATATATAAAAAGTAATCAGAAGGAGTATGTTAAACTCGACTGAGTAGAGTCCAATTTATGACGTTAAAATACAACGCTTGCCGTTGTTGTAGGTTTAATTGTAAATTGCCAAGTTTGTTCTGTGCACAATCATAAGCTCGCGCATTTTTAATGGAAATAGTAGTGTCTAGATACATTTTTTAGTGGGCGAAAAATAAATTGGTCTTAGAAAAAGAGTATTTTAACCCATACGGATAATAAATATATATAGGATATTGAGTCGTTTTCTATATATCCAGTGGGTACAGGACTTAAAAAAGACGTCATTCGAACGTTTTGGACTATTTTTGAACCTTCAAAAGATATCTTTTTTAGGTCCTGTGCCCACTGGATATGTAATTGCATGTTAATTGTAATCTTATTATTTATAATCATTGAGTTACTTTTCTACCAACGGTCGTTAATTTTTAAGGTAAGATATAAATGTATGCGTAAAGAAATCAATCGTTTTTGTTGTCGACTCTTTTTTTTTTTTGCCGTTTTTATTGTCGACCCGTCCGAAGAAGTATATTTTACTAAAATCAGTGAAAATTAACTTGTACTCTAATATTAGTTTATTATTAACTCTAATATTAGTTTATTATTAACTTGTACTCTAATATTAGTTTATTATACCTGGAATTGTAAAATGTTGAAAGATACATAAAAGAAATTTAAAAAGACGATAATTTTGTGGTATGTGCAAACAAAAATAAGTCAAAAGCTTTGGTTTTTTGCGAAAAAAAAAATAAACTTTGCAAAAATGAATTTTGAAAAACAAAATAAACTTTGTCAAAAATGAATTTTGTATCGCATTTAGTTTTCTATCTTGTGCTGACACCAATGTGCTATGAACCAATCAAATGGTTTTCTGCATGAAAAAAAAGAGGATTAATGCATTAAAATAACAAAAGTTTATAAGATTAAAATGGCATTTTAATAAAATTTTTGTTATGAATATTTTGTTTAGAATGTAGAATTAATGTTTCATTGTTGTTCAACGCATATATCAATTATTGAATACTTTATAATGGTAAATTTAAAAACTGACACTTTGCCAAGCTGATCAATTCTAATCTCGTAACAACATCTTTGTGTATTTGTAAAGTGGCCAATAACAGACAAAATCGATCAATTAATTGTCGTCCTTATTTTCTAATTTTATCAGATTATTTTTAAAAATATCTTATACTTCAATTCAGTATATTTTGTTAGAACTTTTTTAACATACATGATTCTCGTTTTTAAGCCACATTTTTTTGGATTAATAAAATAAACGACATTAAAGATAATAGATTCTGTCTTTACAGCTGTTTATTTAGGTAGATCCCATGCCAGTTACGGTTTGTCCCACTCAACTTTCAATGTACAAATAATTTCCTTTTAAAGAACCGACGCAGATTGTGACGCATTTTGAATTCTAAACACTACACAAGACGTGACAAGATAATGTTTGTTTATCATCATAAGTATACATCTATATAGACAATAAAATATTTACAAAGCTGTTAAAATAGATCAATAAAAGCCTTATACATTTTAATGATTACAAAGAAATGTATTTTATAAAGTTAAAATTTGAAATCCACTTACTAGCATGAACACACACAAAAAATATAAAACAAAAAAAAAAAAAAAAAACAGAAAAAAAAATTATAATCCAATAGAAAAGCAGAGAATTATTTTAACATCAACTTGAGCCAGACATTTACCTCATTTATTTATTTGAACTTTAAAAAGAAAAAAATCTTAATTACTTGTTTTACCTTACTGTTCAGCGCTATTATTTACTAAAGGTCGCGAATAAAACAACTTAAAAAGTTCAAGTAAATAAAAAATAAAAAAGTTGGTAACAATCAAACGTCATTGATTTTAAAAATAAACAAACGCTCATGAATTATAAAATGTTTGCAGTTAAAAAATAAAAATAATACAACAATAATTTTAAAATAATCAAGTTCACCTTAGTATTACTAAGATAAACTTGATTTTAATTATTTCATATTTTCTTTATTATAACAGATGCAAGTAAAAAATAATTCAAAGCAAAATCAGAAAATGTTTAAGTATACAAATGTTTCTATATGATCAATGGTAACAAATCAAGATGCAATAAAAGATTTAACAAATTCTATACTTTGAAAAAAAAACCATGCTGTGGAATTTCATCAATTTAAAAATGGCATAAAGGCTTTCATGCAATTCTTTGCATTCAATGTCATTTAAATAGATGTTTAGCTTTTTTTAAAAATACTAGCTTAATATTGCATAATGAAGATAAAAAGAATATATATACATAGAAAATCAGAGAAATAAAATCTAAAAACAATAAATAAAAAAGTTCTTTTTACTTCAATTTGAATACTGTTAAGGAGAAATAATTTGAGGAAAAAATTAAAACTCTATATACTATCTTCCTATAATTTTTGGTAATATTGTATGTCTGTTTAATTCAGAACCTTGGTCTGATTGATTTTCTGAAGTTCTTCTTGTATGTTTAGATGAAGGAGGTTGAGCAGGAGGAAGTTTGCTTATGCTAACAGCAGACTGCTGTCTATTTTGCTTATTTTTTTCACTTATATGTTGATTGTTTGTTATGGTATTAGGATCAACAGGAGCTCGAGGTAATCTCCGCCGTAACCAGGGGTGTCGTAATGCTTGTGAGGGAATCAATCTTTGACTTGGCTCCCAATCTAAACATTTTTTTAAAAAGTCAATAAAAAAAGGGTCATCACATCCTCTTAATGCAGTGACAAAGTCTTTTGAATTAGGCGGACCTCTAACTTTACCATGTCTCGAACGTCCCCCTGTTAAAACTGTACTTCCATCAGGTAATGTTGTAACTGAACAATATCTAGGGTATCCTTTAGAACTGATAAAATTTTTAGCTCGTTTCGAGTTTCCTAAAAGTTTTTCTGGTGGAACACCTAATAGTTCAATAACACACGCTAGCTGATCACTTTCATCTTCTCCGGGAAATAAAGGATAGCCAGTTAAAAGTTCAGATAATATACAACCAAAACTCCACATATCTATTGGCATCCCATATCGCGCACCTAAAATAACTTCTGGTGCTCTGTAAAACCTTGATTGAATATAAGTATAAATTCTTTGATGTTCATAGCAACTGGAGCCAAAATCAATAACTTTGATTCCACTGCGACCTTGCTGCTTTAACAAAACATTTTCAGGTTTTAAATCACAATGGATTATTCTGTTACGATAAAGAGATTCTAAACACTGTAGCATAGAATGAGCAAACTTTCGTACAAGCTGTAAAGAGAATCCCTGAAATTTATTCTTTTTTATAAGTTCATAAAGATTTATACTAAGAAGTTCAAATGTAATGCATATATGATTGCGAAACTGAAAATGTTCAAGCATATGTATTATATTAAAATTGTTCTCTTTATCTTGTTTGCGTAAATGCTCTAATATTCTTATTTCTTCAGCAGCTTGTCTATGAAATCGTTTTTCATTACGTATTATTTTCAATGCAACATTAATTTGAGCTTTATGATCATAAGCTTTTATGACAGAACCAAAACTACCTTTACCAATGACTTTTAAAACTTCATACCGATAATTAATTTGATCATGTGGTGTCAAAACATAAGATCCTTGATCATCGTCATAACCATTGTTATTTGAACCTCCAACAATTCCTTGGCGTTTTTTTGAACTTGGACCCACAAAGTATATTTGAGGAAAATTAAAAATTTCATGATGCTCAAATGTTGTCAGTTTATGCATAAATAGTTTCATTGCTTGTTCAGGAGTCATAGGGGTAACCTTCGATTTCGTAGATTCTGATGATACACTCATGCTTGACTGGCGTTCGGTTGGACTACTAGCATTATTGTTGTTGTTGTTACCATTTACCGTAGGCAACGGACGTTTCTCATTTTTCATTTTATTGACATTGTTATCATCATCGTCATCGTAAAGCTGTTGAACATGGAGAGAAGCTAGCTGAGGCAAGCCATAATTGCCATTTTCTTGAGTAAACTTATTATTTATATTTGTATATTTGTTAGTTGTTTTTAGTGGAACAGATTCAGCTTTAAAATTTTTCACCTCAGGATGAGCAATCGCTTTTGATCCAGTCATCGATATTTCACTCTTTAAAGGATTGAATTGTTGACGTGATACAGTTAACATAATACGCATCTACCTTCCTTAGGACATAGTAAATTCCATCGTTTTAGAATATATTAAAAACAATGCTTATTGAGAATTGATTTATTTGCGATAACAAACTTTAACCGTTGATCGATCGATTGGCGTTTCAATGAGCTTCTTTTGAGAGTTGGTTCATTGCGGTTTCTAGGTGATATTTATCCAATCAGATCGATCGAATTAAACATTTTAAAAACACCTTAGAAACTGTTTTTTAATTATGTCAAAACGTCTTTTTTTATATGCATAATTAAGCGCCTCCGTATGGATCCTATTGGACAGCTTTTAAAGTTTTAAAAATATTTTTAATAATATTTATTAAAAATAAATTTTTAGATATATTCTAAAATTCCTCTCTGTAATTAAAATATTTATCTATTTTTATATACTTTTACCATATTCCATCGCCTATTATTTTAATATGGAATTAAGATGAATTAAAATACAATTAGGCTTCTAATAAGGCTATTAGAATTCATTCCATTTGAAAAATAAACTTTTTAAAAAAATAATAACTACCTATAATCGTTTTTAAAAACTATCATTTTGTGAAATTTGTATTTATTTATTTTTATTTAAGAACTCAAATAAAATAAATCAATTGCTAGGTTGTGTGGCTGCTAGTGGCTTCGCTAAATTTGAATATTGTTGTATTTGTTATTATTATTATTATTGCTATTATTGCTATTATAAATATTATTAGTGTTATTATTATTACTGTTTTTGTTATTAATGCAAACTACGTAACAACCTGATCTTTTTTACAATATGAAATTTCCTGGTATTAATTTGACAAAAACTTGAATGAAAAAAAGAAGTGGTTATTTTAACCTATTTTGCATATTTGAACATCCCGTAATTTAATGGTAAAAGTTTATTTTTTGGAACAATCATTTTTAAATCTTAAAAATTATATACAATGCATATGCACATTGAAATTTTTTTTTTTCAAAAGTGAAAATTTGTCGAATGTGCATATTTGAATTTTTTTCTTTAAGTAATATATATCATTGAACTAATGCGCAAAGAGTCACCTTTTTTCTAACGTTCTGACGCGCTTCAAATTTTTAAGTTGTTTTCATTAGTTTATTAGTGTTAGTGAATTTTTAGATTTAGTCACTTTTTTAATTTACACTGTTTTTGTATGAGTCGTTTGCACTAACGCTCTTTAATCTGAAGTTGGTTTTTTGCAAGTTTGCATTTGAACTTATGACAAAATTTTATAAAAACGTTTCAAGGAATGTATACAAAAATATTTTCAACAAAAAATTCTGTACTTACTGAATATTGTATTGGGCAATGGTAAGTTGATGTGCGATTTCGATCATATTTTGAGTCTTATTTTGCTGTGTTGACTTTTTTGTTTGTTTTTTTGAATTGTAGAGCTTTGAATCTTAGAGCTTTGAGTTTTTTAAACAGGTATTATACCAAAGAAAATAAGGACTTGTTGCGCCTCTTTTTTTTAATTGGAATTTATTTCTGTTTTTTTTTTTTATCTGTTAAGTTATTGAACCTGAATACAGAAATAGATTCCAACCAATTTGGACTATATTTAGTGGCACGAGATTACATTTTAATGTACACTGAAAAGGTTAGCAGTGTAATATTTTCAACAATATCCTGAAGAACTTAAATTTTTAAGTTTATTGCTTTATTTTTACAGAAAAAGTTCAATGTAAATAAAAGTTACAAAAATTATTAAAGTTTAGTGACAACTTTTAGATGCTAAGGTTGTTTGACCTGTCAGCAGCTTTCAAAGAACAAGAGTTGCTTTGAATGAGGAGGGTTATTAAATAAAAAAACATTTAATTCTAATAGTTTTAAAAAACCAAGTGCAATTCTGTGATCAGCAAAGTACCAAGAACATTTTTTCATCAAGAACCAAAGAAGGTTTCAATGCCTTTACATTGATACCTTCCTCGGTATCAATGACATTGATTATTTTTAAGTTAAGATTGTTGATTAAGGATATTGACAAGTATTTTACAAACTTTTATAACTTGTTGCTCAGAGTTTTCATTTTTTTTATGTGAACTGAAAACTTTCTAATAACTAACAACAATACTTGGTTTTAAAATCATTTATTGAGGTTTAATACCAAGGACAGGGACATCCCTTTTTTTTTGAAAGTGCAATGTGAACTGATGACTTTAAAGCAAAACTTGGTTTTAAACATGAATACAAAATTATTATGGTTTGGGTTAGTGCTGAGTTTTAACAACTTTTTTGCCAAACCTATATTGAAAATGAAAATGCAGAACAATACTGTAAAAACAAAAAAAGAATCCTCAATTTTTTTAAATTTTGTTGGAAAATCAAAAACGGACAAAATATTGACTCTATTGGTAATTCCATGCCTATGTATTTAACTTATTCGCGTTTACTTACAAGAGATTATTGTATGAAATTTAAAATTTATTGATGATACTAATTTAGTTAAGAGTAGTAAAAAATAATCACCTCTAGGGCAGTTGAGCCCAAAATTTTAGGGCTTTTTTGATTCCAGACTCTAATGATTTTGCAAAGCATTCATATTTGACATAAGTTTAAAAATATCTAGACGAAGACGAAACATTAAATTATTAATGTTTAGAGTATTCTTAATGTTTAGAAATTAAGTTGTCTCATTTATCAAAAAATACTGCATCCGCCCCTGACATATATATATATATATCCGCCCCTGATATATATATACATCCGCCCCTGATATATATATATATATATATATATATATATATATATATATATATATATATATATATATATATATATATATATATATATATATATATATATATATATATTAGGGCCCTGCGAAGCTTCGAAATTTCGAATCGAATCAAAAAAATGATTCGAGATTCGATTCGAAAATTTTCAAAAATCGAATCCTTACTTATTTTGTTTTTGTTGTGGGTATTTTAGATATTATGTGCTTTAGCACTATCGAAATAACGTTACTTATCTCTAAATACCTTTTTAATCAGTCATTAAAAAGGTTAACCAGGGCAAGAAGTATCAATAAAAAGATTATACAATTTTTTTTATTTGTTTTATTTTGAAATATGTATTATTAAATAAAAAGTGCTTAAATTTAGATTTCAAAATGTCGATTCAAAACATGATTCAAATCGTGAATCAAGACCTGCTTTGATTCGAGATTCAAGTCGAAACAAAAACTGCCGATTCGCAGGGCCCTAATATATATATATATATATATATATATATATATATATATATATATATATATATATATATATATATATATATATATATATATATATATATATATATATATATATATATATATATATATATATATATATATATATATATATATAAAATATGTAAGTTGATTTCAATAAAAATGCAGCGTATAACTATTTTTAAATATATTTTGAGATAATAATATATTAATAATATATGTTAATATATTATTATATTAAAATATATTTAAAAATAGTTATACGCTGCCTTTTTATCAAAATCAACTTACATATTATAAACATATCAAATAACAAGAATATGACTTTTAAAGATATATATATATATATATATATATATATATATATATATATATAATATCGTAAATAAACAAATATGTTATAAAAATTTTGTAAAATTTTTTTCTGACATTTCTTCTTTTTATAACTTTTTGTTCGTGAAGAGGTTTACTTGACTCTGCTAAAATTTTGCATGTTATGTTTATATTAGTCTAAAAACAGTTAAAAACAAGTTTATGAGTGAGTACACAAACGAATATATGAAAACACGTGTTTTAAATTTACAAGAGAATGTTTATACTAGCTAAATTTAACAAACGTTGTTTTGACTGTTCTTTTAAATGATTCGATTAAGGTTATAATTGTATTATGATGTTTTATTTAGAATTGAGTTTCACAATCGTAATCCTTGACATGTAATTGAATATGTCGGGAAATATAAATTTCCGATAAAAAGTCTTGTTAAGTATTTGTGATTATTTAGTGAGAAATGTGGCAGAAAATAGGTGAAAGCATGCCATTATTAGGTTTAAACATAAATAATAAATTTTGATAGATTTTTAGTTTATAAACGTTTAAAGATTAATTTCTTTGAGTAAAAGCTTAACGCATGCATATCTAAAACTAATTTAAAATTAACCGACTTCAAAAAAATTTTTTTTTAGTAAAGACTAAGTTGCGAAAACTAATGCATTGATGGGTAAATTAAAAGTATAATGCATTGATAATACTAATGCATTGATGAGTAAATTAAAATTCTTTAAATAACATTTTGTTTAAAAGATGTTTCTTTTTAAACACGATTCTCAGAGTTTTTAAGAAATTGATTTCTAATAATTTGATGTAATTTTTTCTATTGAAATAATTGTCATATATTATACAAAGAACTTCACCTGGGTTAAACTCCTCTTACTTTGACGTTGTTAGATATTTGAAGATGGGACTGAAATCATTTCAATTTGAACTTTTTCAACTTTTTAATTAGGGAAGAATTTCACAATCGACTGTGTCACAAGCCTTTGATAAATCAACAAAAACTCGTTGCGTATAGTTATTGACTAAAATCTTTAAAATATTCTTTAAAATATGTCTATTAACATACATAAAATATTTAATTATTGTTTTAATGTCAAATCTATTGTATAATCAATGCATTCACCTTTTTGAAAAGGAAACTGTTTATGATGCAAATTATTTTTTTATTCATTATTATATATTCTATTGTGTATAAGACGCTCAAGAATCATTAAAAAGCAGGAAAAAAAATTGAAATGGGTTGGTAGTTTGATTTTTCGCTGTTTTTCTAATCATAAAAATGGCGAATCTTCGCCATTTTTAAGAATAGAAACTATTTTAGTAATTTTTATCAGGAAAAATTTATCTTTCTAATTTATTTTTAGTAAAGTTTATCAGGAAAGATTTATCTATTTTCTATTTTTAAAGAAAAAACGAATTCTATTTTCTATTTTTAAAGAGATTTCAAAATAATGAAAAATTTTGATTTAATAAAACGCACAACATTTGCATTTTATTTAATTAATATAATTTTATCAAGAAAATTTATTTGTTTAAAGTTAAAGCTACACAAAGCTTATCAATGGAAAGTTCCAATATGTTCATTACAAAATCAG